TTTTTTTTTTTTTTTTTTTTTTTTTTGGAAAAATTCTTATGATAATTATTCAATCAAGCAATTTTGTAATTTTGTATTTACAATTATCAATACACATCTAATTACTAGATTCTGATCGGTGGAATTATTAATATATATATAGTTTATGTTTTTAATTACAATTTTATGATTTGATAAATTTCGGTTTATATTTAGATAGTATTTTTTATTTTATTTAAGCATTCGTTTCGGATTGATTATAGTTTTTTATTCAAAAAAATATACTGATAGTTAGATTATTTATAAATTTGAGTTTGGTTTAAATTTTGTTATTTTAGTTTTTGGCTCCGGAGTGAAAAATAAAATTTGTGGAGACTTTTGGGTTAAAGATATATTTTTATTATTATGTTAGTTTTACTTTTAAAATACTCCTAACTATTTGTACTAAAACTTATATAAACTGTGTTAAAAAAAACTTATATAAATTTAATTTTATGGGTTTATTTAAAAGTAAATGAATAGATTTTTAAAATTTTACAGCTAACAAGTTCAATACTCCCTCTGAATATTGCATGTTTTAGAAGAAAAACTTTATTTCAAAAAGATATATTTTTTAAAAAAAATTAAGACATATTTTATCAAATAATAATGATTAACTACAACTTCCAAAAAATTTTAACTACATTTATTGAATTTTCATTTGTTTAAATTTATAGGAAAATAATAATTACAAAAAGCTATATATTTATTATGTGCTCTATTAATATGTGTAAACAAACTAAAATATACAACAAATTAAAACATAGAGAGTAAGGTAATAGAACCACAAAAAAAAAATAGCAGCACAGCACATCGGCTAGTGATAACAAAAGTGAAAATTCATTGGGGCTACTATAAAATGCAAGAATACTTGTTGTTTTGTAATTAAAAAAACTAATGAAACACTTATGTTGTAACGAAATTTTTCCTCTACAACGATACTTAATATGAAACGGAAAAAGTATTATCTGCGAAACCATTTAATGTCCTAAAAATCTCTTAGTTACTAATCTTTGTTTTCTAAAGATTAAGAGAGTAATCAAAGGCAATCAAACGTAAATCAAGTCACAAATAACAGTAATCTTTGTTCTCCAAGATTATTTCACAAACAATTTAAAGTCCTACAAATCTCTCAATTCACAAATGTATATCATGTTACAAATAATAGTAATCTTTGTTCTCCAAGATTATTTCACAAACAATTTAATGTCCTAAAATCTCTTAGTTACTAATCTTTGTTTTCCAAGATTAAGAGAGTAATCAAAGGCAATCAAACATAAATCAAGTCACAAATATCATAAATCTTTGTTCTCCAAGATTATTTCACAAACAAATTAAAGTCCTACAAATCTCTCAACAAAACTTAAAAAAAAAATCAGATCTGAACTTACCAAATCCATTAAGATTTTCACGAGAACACTCGGTTCCGTCTCAACCTCGCCGGACGTTTTGCTGCCTACTAGCATGGTGGTCTTCTTGTTTCGCGGTGTGGAGAACCAATCAGCCTCAGCTATCTCGGTTGTCTCCTTGTTTGGCGGCGTGGGGAACAAAGTTGATACTGAGAACATGGCATCATTGATACTAGTATCAAGCCTTAAGGTAATTCCGTTGTAGCCGACCTAACACAAAAAAAGGGATAAGACTCTCAACACTATAAATCAACAAAAATAGAAAGAAATCTGAAATTTCCTACCTTTCAAAAGCGCTCATCCACCACTAGATCTTACATTCCTCTAAAGACTCTGTTTCAACAAGCTACTCTTAGTATCAACTGATCGTATCAGGAAAAAAGATCATAAATCATAATTGAGTAATTTAATTTACCCCATGAAAAATTGGCATTTAAAACATGCTTTGACATACATCGAAATCATTCAAAAAACAATTTCATCTATCATCCAGACCGTTACCAACCACATGATTTTAATGGTTTTCATTTTCTCTTCTTTTTACCGTTGTTTCTTTGAGGAGGAAGAAGAGAACCTAGAAACCAATCGACAAATCTAATCATTTTAATTAATGTACAATTTTTGTTCAAACAAAGAACCAAGTCTCAAAAAATTGATGTACAATCCTCAAAAGGTTACCAAATTTTCATTGACAAATCACTATTTATAATGATTGGCAGAGTTTTGTATTGTTTCTATGCAATGCATATTTAGAAAACACAACTATATATAATTATTGTATAAAAGAACACACAAAAATATTTTCTTTTTATTCAGCAAAAATTTATTTTACTTGTCAGTAATTATAATGGGTGAGCTGAACCAGCTTGAGATCGTCGACAAACAAATATGCACACATGGCAGCCAAACGGAATGCACCATCAGTGGAGAAGAACGCGTGACATCGACGACAAACACCAGATGAATAAACTTCTGGACATGTGGTGGTAGAGGCAAGGCCAGAGTAGAAAAGAAGAGACATGACCTTTGCTAGCTTGAGAAGATGGTGTGACGGAGAATTTTCTGAAGAAATACAAATCCAAGGAACATAAAAGAAAATTAGCAAGAAGAAAATGAATATACGATGGATAATTAAAAGGACTGGCTAAGTTGGTACCAAATGAGATGAGGCTGTCACGACGTTTAGATAGATGAACCAACAACAAAAAAATTCAAATCAGTTTTATCACAAAATAGTATGAAAACTAGAAAACTATATTTTTTTGGAGAAGCCTTCCAAAATGCTGATTTTGTAGAATGTGATCAAGATAATTACTGCTAATAATAATAAGATTAAGAAAAATTGTTTGAATTATCATACGTTAGAAACTACTTTTCAAAAATACAACCAATCAAAAATTCTTTAACATTTAAGTTTAGTGTTTATTGATTTTTGCTGGGAAAAAATTAATTTCAAATTTGATAGCAATTTTTGAATCTACTTTTAAAAGATTGGTTGTATTTTTGAAAAGTAGTTTCTAACGTATGATAATTCAAACAATTTTTCTTAATCTTATTATTATTAGCAGTAATTATCTTGATCATATTCTACAAAATCACCATTTTGGAATTGCTGGGAAAAATTCAATTTCAAATTTGATAGCAATTTGATAGCATATCTTTTCAAATATTAGATATTTTTTGATTATGTATATTTTTGAAAATGGTAACCAATTCATGGCATTTCAAACAACTTTTCGTCATTGCTTAGAGTTTAGTATTTAGGAGTTGTATTTGAATTTATAAACTTCAATAAATAAATCTTAAACATTTATAAATGACTTAAGATAATTAGTTTAACGGTAGATCAAGAAATCCATCAAGTAGCATGATACAAGCAAGCTCATTAGCTACCATATGACTAATACATAAGTTCACGGTAGATCAAGAAATCCAACAACTCACCCATAAATGACCTTTTTCCACCCGTGAACTTATGTATTATGTCATATAACTCAAATTTCATTATTGAAATAAATAAAATTAGTTACGTTCCACCAAGTTACTGAATACAATGTTGCATTGTGATTCTCATCAAAGAACATTACTATGTATATTCAGGTGCACTCAACCAAGTTCATTACTCTTTTCCCTAAAAAAAAAAATAGCGAAAGCACTTAGTCCAAGATGGAAAGCTCATCACATAATCTTAATCATGAGATGTGTCATCACACATTACAATAATTTCATGAACAATGCTAGTATGTCAATCCTTGAACAAGCACCAACTACTACCAGGTGAAACCTTCACTCCTCTATCTCTCATCTCCATTCTAAGCCTCTCTGCTTCTTCTTGTCTTCCAACACTCATATATATCTTCCCCAGCAACACATAATTCGCTGGATTCTCCGGCTCTATCTTCCACAGTTCCTTTGCAGCAATCTCTGCCAGCTCAACCTCCCCGTAGTTCCTACAAGCTCCAAGCAGAGCCCCCCATGTCTTAGCCGTTGGCTTCTCAGGCATAGCTTGAATCACTTTGTAAGCTTCTTCAAACCTCCCCACTCTGCTTAAGACATCCACCAAACACGAGTAATGGTCCTTGCTTGCGCGCAACCCGTAACCATCCTGCATTCTCTTAAAGTAACCAAGAGCCTCATCAGCTAAACCAGCGTGGCTACATGCCTTTAGCACGTTCAAAAACGCTATTTCATCAGGTCGGACTTTAGCAGATTCCATTTCTTGAAATGCTCTGAGAGCAGATTCAGCTTCACCGTGAAGCGCATAAGCAGACACCAAGCTACTCCAAGCAACCACATCCCTATCAACCATGCTCTCAAATACTAACTTCACATAATCAATGCTTCCGCATCTCCCATACGCTTCTACTAACCCGCTTTTCAGTTGCGGATGCGGCTCAATCAGATTCCTAAAAGCATACGAATGAATCTCTTTTATCAACCGAAACGCCCCAATAACTGAACAAGCTGATACTAGCGCAAGAAGGGTAATCAAAGTAGGCTTGAATCTAAACTCAATCATCTTCCTGTAGAATTCAATTGCTTTATAAGACCCATCCTCTGTACTCACTAAACCCTTAATGATAGCATTGAAAGAAGACTCATTTGGCATAACATCCATCGCCTCATACAACTCAACCGCTTCCCTGATGTTTCCACAATGAGTATAATGTGAAATCATCGCGTTCCACACAACAGCATTCCTCTGGGGAATTTCGTCGAACAGTTTGCGAGCGTGAGAAACAGAGACGCATTTACCATAAACATCGAGTAGTGCGGATCCCACAAAGGGGTTGGAGAGAAAGTTAGATTTGACGGCGTGGGCATGGATGGATTCGCCGAGGAGAGGACGGAAGGCTGCAGCACACGATTTGAGAGCAAGTGAGAAGACGTGTGCGTCAAGAGGTAAGGCGAAAGAAGAGTGCATTTGGCGAAAGAGGTTGAGAGCTTGTTCATGCTTTCCTTGGTTCGCCTGAGAGCTCAGTTGTTTAGTGAGAGAGATCAGTTTAGTGTAGTTGGAAGCGTACGAGGAAGACATGGAGATGTATATCCTTTAGGTGTTTGCGTCAAGAAACTCCATTAATAACGTATGTTTCCCGCCTTGTAAACTAGACATAACAGTTGATTAGTTAAAAGGTTAAAATTTACTTTTCAATTTTACAAACAACAGGGTCGTTGTAGTATAGTTGTTAAGTATTCCTGTTTGTCAAGCGGGTGACCCGGGTTTGATCCCCGGCAACGGCTCTGTTTTTTAGCTTTTGTTAAAAGCTAAACTGGGCTTGTTCTTGGTGCCTAATAGGTCTGGGCGTTTTTAACTCAACCCGAAATATCGACCTTAACCCAAATCGGAAATACCGAATCCAAACTGTTTTACAAAAATATTCGAACGGGATTTATGAGTTTACTACTTTGGACTTTGGTTATATCCCGAACCGAAATCCGAATTAGGATCCGAAGATATCCGAAAATAGTTAAATATTTTAATGTTTTTATATATGTTAAGGTGATTTAGATATTTTAGAGTATTCAAAATATTTTTGTAGTTTGTTTTATTTGTTATTTTGAATATTTTTTAGTTAATTTAGATAGTTTAACTTATTTTTGATTAGATTTGTAAATAATTTATATATTTTGAAAAAAGAATTGTCAATTTTTGAGATTTAAAAAAAAATATTTTTGAACGATTTTAAATATTGGTTAGATCCGATCCGAACCGAACCCGGAAGGAACCGAACCGTATCCAAACCGATAATTAGTAAAAACCGAATGGTACTTATAAACATAACACCGAATATCCAAAAATTCGAATCACCCAGATCGATACCGAATGGACCACCGAAAGCCCAGGCCTAGTGCCTAATATCAATGCTAACTGCACTTGAGTAGAAAAACGTCAATATCCTCGGCAATTACTTCTTCTCCATAGCTAGTCTTTGTTTGTATAGAGATTATTACTTCCTTGATTCACTGAATTTTGTTTTTTTTTGTTTTTTCTCGTCTGAATGGTATATGATATTAAACACTTTCCTCTTAAGCTTGTCTAAAGACTATGTTTGAACAAGCTCCTCTCAGCATCAGGTTCTAGTTTCAGAAAAAGGATTATAAATATTAATTGAGTTGATTAATTTACCACATAGAAAAACTGTCATACAAAACAAAATAAAATAAAACTTGCTTTCAACACACATCAAAAGGCTTCACAAAATCGACTCAGCCAGACTGTTGCCGACCACAACCTCGCCCACGTCCAAACCGACCACGGTGGCCTCTTCCTCGTGCAGAAGACTGTCCGGTGCTAAACCCTTGAGACCGTTGTTGCACTGGTGACTGTGTGTTAGTTGGTGACTGCATGGCTTGAGATTGTGGATGTGTTTCAGACTGTAGTTGCATTTGGAACTGCGGATTCATTGGTGACTGTGGCCTGTTGTTGTTGTTCAACACTTGGTATTGCGGGTTCACTAGAAACTGTGGCATGTTGTTGTTCAGCATTTGGAACTGTGGGTTCATAGGAGACTGTGGTCGCTGCATCTGAAGACCTTGAGAAGCTAACAGATTAAAAAACAGCTCATTCAGTAACTGCGGTGGCTGAATACCACGACCCATCCCAAACGGTTGTTGGTTGAAACAGTTCTGACCAACTAATGAAGGCCATGGCTCTGAAGCTTGTCCTGGAAAAAAGTTTAAGCCACCCGGCCCACTAGCCATTGGCAACTGGCCACCACTGAACTGTGGTTGGAACATCATTTGATTTTGCATTGCCATCAAAGGTATCTGCATTGGTGGTGGTAGATTGGGCATCACCATCTGATTAGGTATAGGAGGAAGCTGATATGAGTTCTGCTGGGGTCTCCATCCTCCACCGTTTGGAGGAAAACCCTCCATCTGAGGTCGGGGCTGATGATTTGAAACAGGACCACCCATTTGAGGATCAGAAAGGTTTGAGGATAAAGAACTAGACCCATGGTTCTCTGTCAATTCCCCTGAGTAACTGCTTGTAAACCTTTCTCGGTCTTGTTTTTTCTTCTTCTTTTTTCTTGTGTTACCGGTTTTCTGGTCATTCATCATCTCTCTCTTTTCCATCTTCCGCAATCTTCTGCATTCGGCTTCTTTTTCATCATCTGAGAACTCAACCTCCTCTGATATCTCCTCGTCGTTATCTCCAGACGCATCGTAACCTTTCTTCTGCAGTTCCTTGATATTGAGAATATGCTGAGCGTACTCAGCGACGAATGAGACAGGTGTACCTTCACTAACCCCCTCCGGCACTTCGTTCTCTGAATTGAACCTCACACTATAGAAAGGGCACTCAACTTGTCCAAAGATCTCATCTACAAGCCCCAAGGGAGTTCTTCTTTCCGTTATCCATAGGATAGAACCTTCAGCCAAGGGACTATGCTTTTCCATTCCCCCAACTATTACTTGTGTGCTCATTACCTGGAATATCAGAAATCACAATGGTTTAGGTTTAGCAGCGGATTGACAAATACATCAAATAGAGAAGCAATAGGCGCACACAGGTAGAGTTTATTTTATGATACCGAAAGAACAACTCCAAGAGGAAGCGTGACATGATGTGGTTCCAGGGTGACATCCACAGGTGGAACTGGAGGAAGCTCCTGCAAAATTTTATAATAGTTAACCAACAGAAAGAAGCCTTCTATGCGCAAATCTGAACCAGTACTCTACAGTCTACACTATAGCGGATCGTACTTATTAATCTACAAAGATAATGGATCGTACTTCTTTCAAGTAAACAAAAGACTAAGAAAATTGGAGTTAGTTACAGTTAACCAAGGCTTAGAGACAATAAAAAGAACACCACCACCAAAAGCTATAATTATGAAATTTTAAATGCTGAAGGATAAGTACCTTGAGCTCATTCTTTGTCCTTGTAGGCTCTTTCGTTTGACAACCGAGGTCCTCATCATCCTCATCATAGCTCCAAGCAACCATCTCATCCACCTCATCTTCGTCATCATCATATTCTTCAACCTCATGCTCCTCATCTACACTCTGTATCTCGCCCTCTTCAAGTTCTCCTTCCATATCTCTCCCCATGGCCATCTGATCCTCAAACTTCTTTTCCTTATTACTTTCTTCCTCGTCACTCTCATCTTCACTGCTGCTACTAGCACTAGAGGTGGAAGAAGAGCTAGAGGTTTCGCTCTCAGACTCAGCAGAACTAGTTTCCCCCTTCTCCTCATCATCCACCGTCAAATTAACCATCTCCAACCCTACTTCTATAGAAGAAGCTAAACCCAAATCTGTTTTCTTCAACTCTGGTTCATCCAAATTCATGGTGAGACAAGCGACAGACCCAGTCGGATCTTCCACTGGCTTAGAAACAACAGGTTCTGACTCTTTCACAGCACCGTCAAAATTTGCTGACATGCCACCACAGAGCTTAGGCTTTACCTCAGTTATAACCGAGCTCGCTCCAATACCCTCAGGCCTGCCACCATAAATCTTAGGCTTTACATCAGTCATCAACTCAGACCTAATCGAGCTCACTTCACCACAAAGCTTGGACGTTACCTCTATGGACTCAGACATAACCGTATTCTGATCCAGTTCCATACGCGTTTCCTCGCTAACAGTAACACCACCTTCCTGACCAATCTCCATCTCTTGCTAAAAAAAAAATCAAATTCCTAAACCCTCTAAGCTCAACTCCTCAATGAATGTTCGTATGATTACTCCCCCAACACAGTTGCATGACTCAAAACCCAGATAGGAATCGAAGGAAGGGAAATCAACAGTAGTGTCCTTTACCCCTTGTTGGGGTCTTGATCTATAGGATAGGTAGCTCCTCCACTTTAAGACCAGAGCCTCTCCTCCCTTCTTCTCTTCTTCCATCTTTCCTTCCTTTTTGTCCTTTTCTGTTATTTTAATGTTTTTTTTTAATAAATAATTTTATAATATATAGTTTCACAGTGTGTGTTGTATATGACATTTCTAAATAAGAGTAGATTTGTGACAAAAAAAAAAATAAGAGTAGATATTAATAATAGAGTAATTTTCACTGAAGGGCAGATTCATGTTTTTTATTACACGAAAAGGCACTTCCTGCTCCTAGAGCAGTTATTGGTGTGAAAAGACTCAAGTTGCCCTTAAAAATGTGTAACTAAGGGCAGAGTATTTAGTTAGGTATTTTTTTTTTTTTTCGTGTTCTAATTTTGAAAGAGTGAAAACCTTTTCCTTTCCCCGAGAACGAGATAGAAAGAAGCAGTTTACTTTCTGGGTTTTCTAGGGTTATACGACGACGGCGATTTGGAAGGCGACGGTGATTAATCAAAGTTGAAGGATGTCTAGGAGACGAAGCTTGCGACTGGTCGGGAACTGCGACGGTGAGTTACCAGAGACTCTCTTCTATTTGGAACAGTAAACAATTGCTTTTAAGCGTCAGAGTCTAGGATTCGTAGATGTCGTTGCGAAGGAAAAGGCAAAAGGCTAGTCTATATTTTGCTTCCATCTCAATCGATTAGGGTTTTGAGTTGTTTTCTTAAAAAGGGTGAAATTGGAGATTTTTCTAAAATCCTCGATATGGGGTTTAAGGTTTCAAAGTTTGTGGCTAAGTGTTTGGATTTTGGGATTTCGATTCTCGGATTAGGATTTTGGGTTGGGTATTTTTGATTTTGGGATAAAGGTTTTAATTTCGAAGTTATCTAAGTTTCAAATTTTGGGGTTGTGCTTGAAGGTAGTGAAGAGATGGAGACAACTAACTTCAGATGTGGACGTTTAAAGCTATACCAGCCTTGATGTACATGTGTACACATTACATATGATGTACATGTGTACAACAAGAACGTATGTGTACATGCGTACTTTGCATATTATGCTTGTATAATTTGCGGTTGAGGTGTTTATTGATTTTTCTTTGGTTTACTGTGTTTCTATGTTTGCAGCTTCATGTGCAACCAGCCTTGCTTAGGCGTTTAGAAGAGAGGGGGGGGGGAGACGAGCTGAAGCTGTTGAGTTATGTGGTGAGAAACTCCCACAACACACTGGGTTGGTTTTGGTGGAGGCGCAAGAGGCTGAGCATGATCCTCAGATAAATATATATACGCATGTACACGTTACATGTGATGTACATGTGTAAAACAAGAACGTATGTGTACATGCGTACTTTGCATACTATGATTGTATAATTTGCGGTTGAGGTGTGAATTGAATTTTGTTTGGTTTGCTGTGGTTCTATGTTTGTAGCTGCATGTGCCACCTACGATGAAGTGTGGTGAGGACAAAAAGGACGGATGGAGGGAATTTGATAGTGGGATTTTGATATTTGTACACATGTACGAACGTTTGAGGTGGTTGTACACATTGTTACATGTACAACAAGAATGTATGTGTACATGTACAACAAGAATGTATGTGTACATGTGTAAATAAAAGAATAAGATTTCACTATGTTTTGAAATGTCTATGTGTACGTTATTTACACAAATTGTTTGTAATTACAAATGTAGACACAAATAAGAATATCCATATGGAGACCTTATTTCATGTACACATTTTGCATTGTCCACAAAGATACTATAAATTATTATCTATTTTTTACTGACATTATCAATATGAATGTGATTGTCGATACCTTTGTTCTTGAGTGTAGAGAAAGTACAATAATAATTATTTAGATAATAACTGAGAATTAGATTTAAATTTTTTATATTTACAGACATGGGTATTTACTGTTATAATGAATTTCTTAATCTCATAATAATTATGTATTTTGATAGATACATTTCTTCATTTTTTACTCAGTGGCATAATTGTAAATTTTTTCATCTTCTTCATAAAGATTTTAAGTTCTTTGTATCCTTTTAATGGCTACCTTATGTAGATATATCATCATTTTTGTGTTTTTCGTACGTTTTATGCCTTGAACCTATGAATCTAACATGAAAATTAAGATTTTAACATTTTAAAACCTAAAAATCAGATTGTTTTGAAAATTTCTATTTTGACAAAATTGATACGATTAGGCTCTACTGAGTGTTTCACCGCCACGTGATCGCCCTTCAGAGCTGTGTTTTCGAACGATAAGAAAATAGAGGTGTGGAGATTACTTTGTGTTAAAAGTATAATCTTTCGATAAGATCTTGTTATCGGAATATACGAATGGATCGAGTTGCAGTGGCAAAGGATTAAGAGTGTCTATGGAGGAGGGAGTGAAAAAGACGTTGTCGGAGGTAGGTTTCTCCGTCCAGATATTGAGAAGATGAAGAAAAAAAGAAAAAGAAAATATTTATTTGTCCTAAAGATTAGTTCCTGGTTTTCGTGAAAGACTTAACTAGAATAGTTAGAAAACAAAGAGAAGTTAAAGAGTGTTCTAACTAAAATGACTTTAAGAATAAGTGTCCTTGTATAAGAAAGTGTCTTATCTTGACATTAAAAACACTAAACTGCCTTTGAGTGATATATTTTCTTAATAATAATACATTTGTTCACCGGTGATTTATGGCGTCTCCGATGAATCTAATACCGAAGCGCCATTTGAGTCAATGTCTTACACCGTCAATCTCATCCTCTTCTCCGACAAAACAATCTCGGATCCTTGAACTCTGTAAATCGGGTCGCCTCACTGACGCTATTCGGATCCTAAACACAACAGACTCGAATGAAATCTCTACAAAACCGAATCTTTACGCGTCTCTCCTTCAGACATGCACCAAATCCATGTCCTTTATCAACGGTCTTCAGTTCCACGCCCACGTCCTCAAAACGGGTCTGGAGACGGACCGTTACGTTGGGAACAGCTTACTCTCCCTCTACTTCAAGTTAGGACACGATATGAAAGAGACACAGAGAGTTTTCGACGGAATGTTCGTCAAAGACGCGATCTCTTGGACTTCGATGATGTCTGGATACGTAGCGGGTAAAGAACACGTTAAGGCGCTTAAGGTGTTCGGTGAGATGGTGACGTTTGGTTTGGAGCCAAACGCGTTTACGTTGTCTTCGGCGGTTAAGGCTTGCTCTGAGATCGGAGATGTTAGATTAGGGAGGTGCTTCCATTGTGTTGTCATCACTCGTGGGTTCGAGTGGAACCATGTTATCTCCAGCACGTTAGCGTATATGTACGGTGAGAATCAAGAACCAGTTAATGCACGGCAAGTGTTCGATGAAATGCTTGAACCGGATGTTTTTAGTTGGACAGCTGTTCTCTCTGCGTACTCGAAGAACGACTTGTATGAGGAAGCTTTGGGGCTTTTTTACGTGGGGAATAGGGGAAAAGGGTTGGTGCCTGATGTGTCTACGTTTGGGACTGTTTTGACTGCTTGTGGTAATCTGAGGAGGGTGAAGCGAGGGAAAGAGATTCATGGGAAGCTTATTACGAATGGGATAAGTAGCAATGTGGTTGTGGAGAGTAGTCTTTTAGATATGTATGGTAAATGTGGTTCGGTACGGGAAGCTAGGCAAGTGTTCAATGGGATGTCCAAGAAGAACACTGTATCATGGTCTGCTTTACTTGGAGGATACTGTCAGAACGGAGAGCACGGGAAAGTTATTGAGATGTTCAGGGAAATGGAAGAGAAAGATCTCTACTGTTTCGGGACTGTACTTAAGGCTTGTGCTGGTTTAGCCGCGTTAAGACTTGGGAAAGAGGTTCACGGCCAGTACGTTAGGAGAGGATGTCGTGATAATGTGATTGTGGAATCAGCTTTAGTTGACTTGTATGGAAAATCTGGTTGCGTAGATTTTGCTAGTCGTGTGTTTTCCAAGATGGCGATCAGGAACATGATTACGTGCAACGCAATGCTATCTGCGCTGGCTCAGAACGGAAGAGGTGAAGAAGCTGTCAGTTTCTTCAATGATATGGTCAAAAGGCGGATAAAGCCTGACTACATAAGTTTTATCGCGGTTCTCACTGCATGTAGTCATACGGGTTTGGTTGAGGAAGGACGAAACTACTTTGCGATGATGACTGATAGTTACGGGATTAAACCAGGTACTGAGCATTACAGTTGCATGATTGACCTTCTAGGCCGTGCTGGTTTGTTTGAAGAAGCAGAGAATATGTTGGAGAGAGCAGAGTGTAGAGATGATGCGTCTCTGTGGGGTGTTCTGCTTGGACCTTGTGCTGCAAATGCAGATGCCTTGGCTATTGCAGAGCGGATTGCAAAGAGAATGATGGAGTTGGACCCAAAGTACCATATGAGTTATGTGCTTTTAAGTAACATGTACAAGTCGATTGGTCGCCATGGTGATGCACTCAAGATTCGTAGGTTGATGGTGAGAAGAGGAGTAACAAAGACTATTGGACAGAGCTGGATTGATGCTCATTAGAAAGCTATAAAGGTTCATATACCTTTAGGGATCTTGCTTTTAGCATTCATGAAGAAATGGTTTTGAGTCAAAAGTTTTGACAATTAAACCACACATTTTTCCTTGAGGTCTCCATGTAGTAGATTCAGTCTTTACAAAGTGTTTCAAACAAAATAAATTGCCAGCCTAAACTTTGCAGATAAAAGGGGTTGTAACAAATGTTGTGTGGAGAGTTCAAGGTTTGACCTCAAGCCACCGTTTGGTAAATTCTCCAGTGAGGAGTGTTGTCTTCATAGTGCACGCATCAAGGTCGATTTTGCAGCTTCCCGCTTCATCTCTGCAGCTTTGCCACTCCCTCGGAAGTATGCATATACTTGCTGAAAATCGAAACTTCATGGGTTAGAGAAACAGACAGATTGAAGTGATTCAGAGTGTTGATAAATTTGGGAGTACGAAGAAGTTTCAAAACCTGAATCACCCAGATATTGAGGAGTGTTTCGACGCAGAAGAACCCCGCTCCAATGAAGTACATTATCTGTGAGGGAGAAAAATAATTGATAAGACTGTCGCAAGCAAAGCCTAAGTTAAGTGTTTGAAAAGGAGCAGAAGTAATACTTACCCCAACCGCAGCATTAGTCGTCAGAAGCTCAAGTGCTGGCAAGAAACCTCTGTGACCAACAATACATGGAATCAGATGGGACTTCATCAGAGGCTCGAAAGGTCTGATCATCTTTATTATAAGACAACTGGGTAAAAGGTTCATGAAGAAGAAAACTCTTACGTGAGTGACTTTCCTTGAAAGATGAATGGTGGAGCTACTGCAGCAAAGCCGCAGAATGCAATGTGAAACTGAAAAGTGCAAGATAGTGTAATCATCAAAGCGTAGTGGTTTTATTTTTACATGGCTTCCTGAAAAACCTATGATGCAGAGGAAATCAACAATTGGGGATACGATTTATCTTACCACGTAAAAGAAGAAAAAGGCTCCAAACTTCAGGGCACTATCAGTTCTGCAATAGGTACGTGTACACATTGTCTTAGTGACTCTTTTAACATCTAAGAGATCCTTTCCCGATGTATTGTGTTCTAAGCAAGTTCCAGCATATACATTACTTATAGAGCTGATTTTTACCTGGTAGCTCGGTAAAGGGGACGATACCATAAGACGTAAGCCCCAGGGACCCCAGCAATGAAGTAGATGATTGACATAAGCCATATAGTGGGACCTGGTTACATCAGATGAGTCAACATGATCCGAGGAAATAGCAATATGAATCTGATCATTTTAGGTAAAAACAGTAACCTTCTCCTTTGATCCAAGCTACGGTTACTGCCACAAAGTTCCACAAGAGACATCCTACTAATCCTGCATAGTTACAATAGTTTTAGTCTATTAACTTTTGTCTGTCACATATCCAGGACTTGATTGCAGCAGTCTAAGGTGGCCTTTACGTTTACCTAACATAGTGGTGAATGCGACATATTGGATCTTCTGTAAATGAAGCGGAATCTCATTTGGGATGTCATGATGGATTATAGGGAAAAAGTCGGGCCAATTCTTCTCCTCAATGACAACTCCAGCTGCCAAGCCAACCGTGTAAGGTTAGCTACAAAATAACTCTTAAAAGTGTCAATGGAAAGTGTAGAAAAACATATATAGAAGATTGTCTACTTCGAGCTATTGCATCTTCTCTTCTTTTAAGCTCCTGCATTTATGACAACAATAAGAAGACTGATCAATACATTTCACGTGGAAACTGTAGGTCTCGAAAGCTGTAGGTCACATGGAAGCCAAAATTACCTGTTCTTTCCTCTTCAACTCGTTCTCTTTAGCCTGGAGTTCCATCTCTCTAGCTCGAAGATCCTTCAAACAGAAACAGCGAAAATGAGATCCATTGTTACATTCTCACCAGATTTTGAGCAAAAACTGAAATGCAAAATGCAGAAGCTATTGAAGGTACTGGTACCTTGGCGGAATCCAAAGGGATATCAACGGTTGCACCACGATCATACGGTTCCGGTGGAAGCGGCTTGAGATATGAGTTGCTTGCAGGAGGAACATTTGTATAATTCTATAACATTATAAAGTCAGAGATCAAAAGGGTAGGCTTACAGAAAGATCAGTTAATTATTCTTGATTCAAGAACACAGAGCTCTTACCGCAAAAGGATTGATCTCTTCATCAGCAAATGGATTAGGATCATGTCGTGCCATCTTTGAGATTGTTCCTCTTTTATCAAATCAAGAAATGGATTCAAGAAAGAGTTTTGGAGATTGGGAAGGTCGTTGACAGAAATCAAAATGCGGAGAAAGTGGTTTCAATGAGAAAGAGAAAACAACGTATGTGCGCGCCAGAGAGATCCAAGGCAATTTAAAGGCTTCTCGCTTCGTTTTGTAACCAATTTGGTTTTCTTTGTCCGGTTTGCTAAATTTTCTTTGGTTTTGTAACTTGTAAGATTTCAGTTTGTTATCAACGGCTAAGAATTGGAGACGTGTACTTTTAACGACCAGTGAGTTTATAACTAACCATATAAACTTAAAAGGTTTGAATCCGAACTTTGCGGCAAGTGGTTAGTATGTAACATGCCACAACTTTGCATGTAACAGACTGACAGATCATTCCATTGTTAGTTGTAGTCACCCAAATAAACTAATTGTTTAAATCATTATTATAATGTTTAGGTTAAAACATGTTAACATGTTACAAACAAAGCAAGCACGAACCAGTGACTTAAACTTAAGGATTTAATACAGGGTCAGATTTTTCAAGTAAAGCTCTAAACTATTCATCCTCTCATAACCAATCCCAGTTTTGCTATGCATTAGCTTCATAGCTCAATCTACCTCTGCTGCAGAGGCTCTGCAGCAGCGACATTTGTCAAATAGTACTCGACCATTATGTTTGAATTCAGTGTATTGGGCATAGTGAATATCGAAAGGTCCCATGGTCTAGCGGTTAGGACATTGGACTCTGAATCCAGTAACCCGAGTTCAAGTCTCGGTGGGACCTTTTTACGTTGCAAAAACCATTTCCCTCACGAAGTTGAAACTTTCCACAGTTTTAACATCAAGTTTGAGGCAAGAAACAAAAAAAACCTAAGACATTTACAGTTTATGAATTGATGAACCCAATGAATCTCCCAGTGCTTTAAGCATAGATGCAACCAGAAGACTTTTCTTTTCATGGGATCAAAAACCAATTCATGAAAACAATCAAAAGTCATGTCTCAAGTCTTGGTTTTGTCTCCAGAGAATCTCGGAAGCTGAACAAGTGAGTTCACTCTAGTAACGCCTTCTAGTCCTGACCAGTTCTGTTCTCCTTCCGTTGCTTTCTCCTTCTCTGCATCATCAGTCTCTGCATTCACATTACCACAACTGTTGTTTTCCACTGATGATTTAACGGTAACGTTTCTCTGAAGACACGGCTCTGTTCTCTGGCTTTCATCTGACTCTACTGCGTTTGTTGCCGAAGAGGATCTTTGTTCTTCGTACTCTGATGACTCTGAGTCCATTTTCCCGTCAAGAAACAAACACACAACTGCACAATCATCCATTTTCGAAGTCGGGTACTTTAGTTTCCATTCGCGTGCAGCTGAATCTACCACTAGCCTAGCTGCCGATGCTCTGCTTGAAGCTGACGCCACGACTTCAACCACTTCTTCGTTGCTTAGCACATCCCATATCTATTCAACACAAAGCTTGAGTAAAAGCAATTCATCTAGAAAATCTCAATGCTCAGAGAACTGAAAATAATAAAGTTTCAGCACATTACTCCATCTGAGGCCAAGACAATGAACTGATCTCTATCTGTAAGAAGACGGTGAGAGAAGTCGGGTGTTGAAATCACACCGTAGTCTTTCACACAGAAATCACCAAACGCCCTAGCCATGGCTAATCCTGGAGCATTATCAAATGGTAGCCACACTCTTGACACCTCTGGCTCGTCTTCAAGCGCAAACACCCGACCCCTACACTGCTTGATCCTCTCTGCTTCCCCTATCAGAACCAAACCAGCAACAGCATTTCCAAAAATCAAACAAAAGTAAAAATAAAAGTAGAGATGGAAGAAAATATCGTAAAAGGTTGTTAAAGCATTTATACTTGGTAAGTCAGGCTTCAAGTCAACTGTTAGCTGAACTGCAACCATTGAATCGTTGCTGTCTTTGGATCCAAGTACTGCCCGAGAGTCCCCAATGTTTCCCATGAATAGATTTGACCCCTGAAACACAATCAAACACACATCAACACCAATACTTAGAATCGTTGCTGTCTTGTCAAGATTACCTGTTTAATGATTGTAACAGCAGTGCTGCCGCTGCAGTAGCATTCCACATTGGGATGGGATCGCAGTTCCTTATCCATAGCATTGAATGATTTCAAGAAAGCTTCTTCCCATAGGAGCTTCAGTTTATCCCCCTCGCTAGATTCTTCCTTGTCAGTTTCTTGACTATCTGATTTGCTTGCACGAGTTCCGGTTGATCCGCTTTGCTTAGACTGAATCGAATGCATGAAAGACAGTAACCTTACAGGCAATGATTCTCTCACTTTCCGTGAGACATGATGACCATTAGGCCCATGTCCATCAAAAACACCGCAGAATGTCATATCATTCGACATAAAATCCTACACACACACACACACACCAAAGCCTGCTTACTAAGGGACACACAGAGATCTTATAAACATCATTGACTAAGAAGAGAAGGAAGGAACTCACTTCCCACACGATCATCGAGTCCTGATTGATTCCTTTGCGTCCCTGTTGGGTGAAAATGCAAGAACTCTTGCTCTTTCCGCTGCTGGTGATCCGGTTGGGAATAGAGACCAAGTTATCAAGAGAAACGATGCGGCCTGAAAGCGTTCTCCTCCCCATTTTGCTACCACAGCATCCCATCCCGAGAAGCGGACGATAAATAGGCTCTTCATTGCTCTTAGACACACAACCGCCCATTGGTCAATGCAAGCAAGCACAAGATATGAATCTGATCGCAGAGATATTGTAAAAGAAAAGACTCCTCCTACTTTTATACCAAAACCAGATCGCTGATGTAGATGCTTTACCAACACATTTGGTCAAACCAAAGAGCTTTCACACAAGTTTTTTTTTTTGTTGAATTAAATACACTTCGTGTGCAAAACCTTTTCTTCGAATCTTGGTCAATGATGATGTAATGAACCGTGAGCTGAAAACACTGAAGAAAAATGAAATAGAGAATAGTTTATAGCAAAGTTCCAAAAGAGAAAAGTAGACTCCAACAAGTCATAAAGAAGAAAACCACAGCATGTGATCTTTGCAATAAAATAGTAGTATATCACAAAAAGTCAGTCCTAATTGTTTGTCATTGGACCAGCCTTAGGACTCTCTTAATGTTCCAATTCACTAATCCTTGATAATAAGTTAATCAACGTAAAGATAGAATCAAAACACAGGAAACAGTAAGGGCCTAGGAAACAGGAAAGGCATACAGATCAAGAAGAGAGAGTTTTCCAACGTGTGTTATAGGCACATGAATCCAGATAGTTTTCCAAAATCATGAAACAAGTTCCAATACAACTATTTTGACCCCAAACCAAACAAAAATAAAAGACAAGAGGAGAGAAAGAGAGATAAAACAATATGTCAAGAAATCATGGTGGTGGGTTTATCATATTTACTTCACAGATGTTTTGTAAAGAAGATTCACTTAACCATTAACTACATTGTTCATTTCTCATACAATAACTCCCTTGAATCATAAAATTTACAATTACATTGCTCAGTGAGAAACAAAAAACTGCTAAATGCAAATCCCAAAGCTTTATCTGAGTAGTGAGAACTGATGACGCCAAAAAAAGGGATCATCTTAGATAAGCTTTTACATAATAAATATCATAAATTCAAATAACACTTGGTTAATTGGACGTGAAAGTAGATATTCTAATGAACAGAGAGATAAAGGCATTGATTGGTAACCATACGGAATGGCGGAATGGCTTATGAAACGCGATTCCGCAAGAATTTTGCCAATCAACAAAATGTTGCGGAATGAAAAAAAAACGCAAAAACGCAAGTTTGCGTTTTTGCTGACAAAAATATAAAGAGAAATTTTATTAAGTGGAAAAGTGAGTTTTAGTAGATTATGGTGGAAAGATTTAAAAACTAATATTTTCATATTATTAAATTATATGCTAATACTATCTTAAAATATAAAATACATATCAATAATTTTTAATGATAAATAATTATGTTGTAAATAAAGTTCTATTATAATTTATATATTAAAAAAATCTATTTTTAAAATGTATTGAAAGATATGTTAGATATTTATAATAAAAACTAAAATGTTTTTAATAAATTTTAGTTGTTTTCACTTTTGTAATAATTAGTTTAATTATTACTAGTTGTTTTTTATAACAAATTAAAAACCATATAAAATATTTTANATAAAAACTAAAATGTTTTTAATAAATTTTAGTTGTTTTCACTTTTGTAATAATTAGTTTAATTATTACTAGTTGTTTTTTATAACAAATTAAAAACCATATAAAATATTTTAATCAATTTAATATATATTCCGCCATTCCGCAAATTTTAAATTTTTCCACGACTTAATTAATTTTTTCCGCAACTTAACTATTATTTTCGTGATTCCGCGATTACGCGATGGTTACCAATCGGAGCCAAAGAAAAAAAGGTGGGATTTTTAAAAAAGAGGGGGAAAACAATTCACTTTTTTTCAGGAATCCGATTTTTAGATAAAAATGAGATCTGAGAAAGTTTGTTGGAATGGGCAAACGAAAAATATACAGAAGAGATTCACTCGAACAAGACAAACGAAATGAGATCACACACACAGACAGACAATACGAGTGAGTGGTCAAATCAGAGAGCAAAAAGGACGAACCTTTGGGTTTAGGGTCGTTCTCTAGTGGAAATAATTATGATTCAGAGCAGAGAGGCTAATCATTAATTGAAGAAGAAAGTAGAGATTTAACAGGAAGACTACCTATTTTCCCACATGAACTATGGCATAATAATAAATATACAAAAAGTTTCCACCCGGACGTAATTGCACACCACATAAGTATAACAACACTCTTCCACATACGATAAAAGGTCGAGTTGTACCGATACTAATTGGTTTACTATCGGTTTCGAATTTTCATCGTATGTGGAAGAGTGTTGTTATAATTATGTGATGTGCAATTATGTCGAAGTCGAAACTTTGTGTACATTTATTACTATGTCATAGTTCCTGTGGGAAAATAGGTCGTCTTCCCACAATAAATAGCTTAAACTTCTTAATATAGCATTTTCCGAGAAACTCGATTTTCTGTAGAGCTTAACCCACATATTTCGAGAAAAATTAAAAAATATTAGAATTTGTTTTTAATGCATATTTGCATCATTAACTGAAATAGTATGAAAGATTAATAGTATTTGCCGGGGAGCTACACCCCCTTGTGGTGGAGAGGATCCAAATGCAAGCGGCAATGAATGCCATGACCTATAATCGCACACCATTAACCACAAAGAACGCCGCCGACGGTGTGCTGAGCAAGAGGATCTTAAAGCATTATCTTCCACCACTTAAACGACTCGTTCCTTTCCATCAATGCTACTCATTGGCGTCAAGAGATTGGAAGATCGCAACACAGCTTCGCGTATAGATACAAGGAGAAACGTCAGTTTCTGAGCATTATCTTAAAACATTTTAAATCGACAAATTATCGCTTAACAATTTCTTATGATACTTATTCAATCATCTAATGAAAAATGATATTCCATCTGATATTTTCATTATGACTAGGGACGAGAGAGAGTCAGTGACGTTGTTGTACTTCTGTACAAATGATATTCCATCTGACATTTTCATTTTTTGTTTATTTTCATTTGGTAGTTGTAGTTTCATTGCATGGCATGATAACACATTCATAAATATATATATATATATATATATATATATATATATATTAAACGATAAGAGCAAATACTCAATTATTTTACTACTTCTTTTTCATAATATTTTTCACTTCATATCGATCAAATCATCCAAACCAATTAGTTTCTCGGAAATCGAATCCAAAAAACAACAATCATGTTATGCATCCTGGCTATGCAGGGCCGTCTAATAGTATGTGCAATCTAACCCCTATAAAAAAACCTGAATTTTCTAGTTAAATAGTATATATACGATTTACCATCTTTCGTGTTCTTAAAAAAAATACCTAAACCCACACCAAATATATATATATGTTTGCTAAACTTATCCTTATGTACATGTGAATCATTTAAAATTTTCCAATCTTAATTTGTTTAACATTCAAATATCACTTAATATGTGGATTAACCCCAATAAAAATCCTATTTTATGGAGAAACGAAAACATTTAAGGTCTCAAATCTATTTAATATTCATACTATGGCGGTGTATGATGCATCTATGCATTAAAACAAAAATTCTATTTTTGATAATTTTTCTTGAAATATGTGGGCTAACCCCCCCTATGGAAAAACCTGAATTTTTAGTTAAATACTATATATACTATATACCATCTTTCGTGTTGTTTAAAAAATACCTAAACCCACTCCAAATATTTATATATGTTTGCTAAACTTATCTTTATGGTACATGTGAATCATTTCTAATTTTCCAATGATTAATTTATTTAACATTCATATACCACTTAATATGTGGATTNAGTTAAATACTATATATACTATATACCATCTTTCGTGTTGTTTAAAAAATACCTAAACCCACTCCAAATATTTATATATGTTTGCTAAACTTATCTTTATGGTACATGTGAATCATTTCTAATTTTCCAATGATTAATTTATTTAACATTCATATACCACTTAATATGTGGATTAACCCCAATAAAAATTCTATTTTCTAGAGAAACAAAAACATTTAAGTTCTCAAACCTATTTAATATTCATACTATGGTGATGTATGATTTAGCTATGCATTAAAACAAAAATTCCATTTTTGATAATTTTTCTTGAAATATGTGGGCTAACCCCTATGAAAAACCTGAATTTTCTAGTTAAATACTATATATACGATTTACCATCTTTCGTGTTTTAAAAAAATACCTAAACCCACACCAAATATATATATATATATATATGTTTGCTAAACTTATCTTTATGGTACATGTGAATCATTTCAAATTTTCCAATGATTAATTTGTTTAACATTCAAATACCACTTAATATGTGGATTAGCCTCAATAAAAATCATATTTTATGGAGAAACGAAAAACATTTAAGGTCTCAAATCTATTTAATATTCATACTATGGCGGTGTATGATGCATCTATGCATTAAAACAAAAATTCTATTTTTGATAATTTTTTTGAAATATGTGGGCTAACCTCCTATGGAAAAACCTGAATTTTTAGTTAAATACTATATATACTATATACCATCTTTCGTGTTGTTTAAAAAATACCTAAACCCACTCCAAATATTTATACATGTTTGCTAAACTTATATTTATGGTACATGTGAATCATTTCTAATTTTCCAATGATTAATTTATTTAACATTCATATACCATTTAATATGTGGATTAACCCCAATAAAAATTCTATTTTCTGGAGAAACGAAAACATTTAAGTTCTCAAACCTATTTAATATTCATACTATGGCGGTGTATGATGTAGCTATGCATAAAACAAAAATGGAATTTTTGATAATTTTTCTTGAAATATGTGGGCTAACCCCTATGAAAAACCTGAATTTTCTAGTTAAATACTATATATACGATTTACCATCTTTCGTGTTGTTTAAAAAATACTTAAACCCACTCCAAATATTTATATATGTTTGCTAAACTTATCTTTATGGTACATGTGAATCATTTCTAATTTTCCAATGATTAATT